AGACAAATGTTAAGATTATGAAACACCCATAAAGAAGAATGAAAAAACAAAATCATGTTAATCTCACAGTTCCATCGTCTTGCATATCAATGCCTTCAACTCCTGATTCTTCGATGATGCTCTTTACTTTCTTCCCACCAGAACCAATAAGGGAGTATACTTTGCTTGGATGCACCTGTAGCACATGAAAAGCCAACAATCTTTAGTATAAGCCAATAAGGTGTTAGACTGAGTAACTCTAGGAAAATGAGTTGAAGCCACAAACCTTTATAATATGTATCAACGGAGCGTATTTTTAGAGACTCAGCATAGGAGGCGGTGACCACTTAGCCATTTCAGCTGCAAGGAAAGAAAAAAAAAAATTAGTAAAATTACATCTTCAACAAGGGTAGACACAAAGCCATTCCTGAGAAGCTGTCAGTAATCTGTTCTTTGTCTCTCCCACCACCACTCTCTCATCTCTTATATCCTCGTGAGGAAGAAGATTAAGAAAAACGAAATAAACATAGTATAAGGTACATACTAAACTCAAAAACTCATGAATATGCAAAAAAATGAGTTGGACAGTTAGTTCTTTTCACGTACAGAGATTAGGCGTAGTAGTTCAAGCTTGCTTTCTTCTTGGCCTGGACTTGGATGATACCTTCATTGAAGTCCTCATGGTTCACCGGGCAAACACCAAATAACAGACAACCTCTCAATGTTTAAAAACCAGACAATATTTCATTCATAATGAAGCATTAAGGCTTTTGTATCTCCTTACCTCTGTGGCATCGCGACGAAGAGCTAACATGCCAGCCTCTACACAGACTGCTTTCAGTTTAGGATAGTTATCTGATCTTTTAAGCTATCAAGGGTTATGTTCAGAAAAATGTGATAGACAAACCTGTAAGATTCTGGCTCTTGCTTCTTCTGTTGGATGTGGGAATTCAATCTTCCTGTCTAATCGACCAGAACGCATCGGTGCTGGGTCCAGAATATCTGCACGGTTAGTGGCTGCAATCACCTGAAAAGTTTTGGAGAAGTGTGATTGTTACGCATGGAGATTTCTCTTTTGCTAGCTGAAAGACATCACATACAAGTTTTGCTCCGTCTCAAATAAACATCTGCATACATTCAGATATGATTGTACTGATTGTAGCATTAAGATATAAGGTAATAAATTTTCAAGGATTTGTGATTAAACATGACACTCATAATATACCTGGACCAACTGAGGACCTGCCAGTTTGAGGAAGGTGGCATGCATTGGTCTGTTCTGCACAAGCACGAGCCATTAGATTCAAGAGCAATCCCTTTGGTGGACGAACCACCAACTTCTCGAAACGCTAATAGCCTCTACCAGCTCTTGAATCTGTTTTGGAAATTAAACAGAGATCGATATAATATTTTTTAATTTTAGTCATTATTTCATCACAAGTTGTGACAATACACAAGATTACCAGAATCATCATATTCATAGTTACCAACCAATAATAACATAACAAACCCGTCATAGTATATGACTGACAGGTTTCCAACTAATTGTATTATTACTAACTGATCTCATTTAAAAATATGTTTTATGTCAAAATACCACTTACCGCAAATAACCTAACATTTAGGTCAAAAAATCTTGGGTCAATTTAGTTACAATGAAACTATGTCAGCTCAATTTTATATCATGATTTAACAATTTAAAAAATAATTATGGCTATGAAAATTTTACGTTCATTTGTCAATCCTCTCTATCTTTAATATCTTTTTTTCTTTTTGTGTTTTTTTTTTCATTTTAGTTATTGCTCGATATATATATTGATTTTGAAGTTTATTCTCATTTCGTTTGTTTTCGCCTAAGATTTATATAATGCATAAGATTTACAATAATTAAAGAGAGACAGACTTAGATTAAGACCTACACTTTTTGCAGAATAAATATTTTATATTTATTATTATTTTATATTTTCTGCATATTTGAAATAATAAAATAATAAGTATATATATTAAATAAATAAGAAATAATTTACTATTATGTAATCAATTGGCGTGTCATATAAATCTAACGATCACTCTTGCTTATTCGCAATTAGGGTGAATAAATCAAAAGTATCAATCTTATCTATCGTATGTGATATATAATTAAATTTAAATGATATTAACATATATATATGGCAAAATTTTAATATATATATCTCTATAATATTATTTGAGAAGTCACTTTCTTAGGTGTCTCATTCACGTTAACTCTTACGCTGGTTGATTACTATGATACCCCTAATGAATTAAAAATATATTTAAATATAATTATTTCCTTTTTAAAATCTTCCCAATAACAATATAAAACAAAAAGGAAATATTTATAAAATTTACAAAACTATTTAAAAACGAAAAATAAGTATATATATAATATGGTCTCATAAAAAGGAAAGTTTATAAAATAGTAATATTTAACTTAAATATATTTTTAAATAACATAAATTATACTTTTTAAGTAATTATACTTTATATCTTTATCTTCTTAGATGAAAATTATATTTGTATATAATGTGTTTCATAAAAAATTTCATACAAATAATCTTGATACTAGAAAAAGAATTTTTTTTTCTTTAAAAAATAATTTAAACAATAAAATATATATTTTCAAAGTAATTAGTTTTTGTATATATCTATCTATTTTATTAGATGGTTACATAAAATAATTAAGTAACATAAATTGATATATGTTAAATTGAAAAAAAAATTATAATCAGTATATTTATTTGATTATAATATCTTACAGTTACAACAAAAAATATAAATTTTATTTTACTTATATAATATAATTTCTCAAAAACAGTCACATTTTTACTGCATATTTTAAGAGATAGTAAAAAAACTAAAAATAAATTTAATAATAAACATCTTTTGATCAAATAACTACAATTATTTTAAAATATCATAACACTATATAATTTAACAAGGTAGATATGATAGATTATATTTTAATAGTTAAAATTATATATTTTCTTAATAACTCTTTTGATGTTTAATTTTCAATTTTTATGTTTGTGGAATTTAATATAACCATAATCAAAATACTTAAGCAAATTAGAATTCTTTATTTTTAAAATTATTTAAAATAAATTTCAATTTATCATCCAATCAATCTAATGCATAAATTATTTAAAATTTCTAAAATATTTAATTATTGTAAATATTGATATCTGTTCATAAGCTTCCAAAAATTTATTATTACTTATGTATGTAATTTAGAATCAGACACTTTAGTTTTTATTTTTTTTGTTCTAAGCACAAAAAATCTTAAAATACATAATCTTACTAATATATACTTATATTTCTAAGATAACAACGAACATAAATGTAAATAAAAAATTTAAGATATTTAGAATAAAAAATATTATAGTTGAATTCAGAGAAATAGATAGAATCCAATATATATATATATATATATATATATATCCAAATGATAAAACTGACTGAATATAATATATCTAAAATAATATATAACTAAAATAATATAATACTATTAATATAAATTATATAAAAAACTATAAATTAATATAAAAGTTAAAATAAATATCAATCAACTATTATAATATATTTATTTTATAAATATTTATGTCCGTGCATGAGCACGGGAAAATCATCTAGTATATTTATTAAATGTGGTTTCTACTCATATGATTTTATGATTATTTGCATATTTGTATAACAAAATTTTACACCAATAACTTTTTTTAGTTTGAGATGTTTAGTAATTTTAATAATTTATAATCATTTAAAAAGTAATGACAGATTTTAAAATTAAAATATTAACTTCTCAATATATGTACGATACAAATATCAAAATATTAGTATGTATTTTCATACGATGTATAGTTTAACTTGAATGATATGAAATATATATATATATATATATATATATGTATATATGTAAGTATATTAACATAAAACCTATTAAAATAAAATTATTTCTTCACATGCTCTTATAATAATTGTATCTTGATATAGAAAAAAATTAAACCTTGATCATAAAAGCTTATGTGAGACTTTTAACAATTTTAGTAATTTATACTCGTTTTGAAAAAAATTCGAAATACAACATACACAAAAAAATCTAGATTTTTATTAATGATTAATGTAATTGTGGAGTTTATTTTAATAATAAATAAATAAACAAAATGATAAAAAGTATACAGATTGTTATCAAATTTTTATTGTTTAAAATCATTAATTGCCATATATATATTTAATCACATTAGGTAATTCCGTATATTTTATTTAAGGAAAGCCTGTGGGTTAATAAATATTTGATATAAGCGACCAACTATAATCTGCGAAATAATATATTGCTAGAGAATATATAATTTTTAGACTATACATTATTTTACATGCTATAGAATCTTTTTAAATTGAAATAGAAGGTATAGAGATAGGTACAATGAATGAAGTTATTTTTTTTTCTGTATCTCTTTTACGAACTGATTTTAGTTTGTGAGAAGAGAATCCCTTGTTTTACTCAACTGTTTTGATTCTACATCAACACAAACTCACAAGAATATACTCTTTCTGTTCCTAAAAGATAAATTTTCTAGTGTTTTCACACATATTAAGAAAACATATTAAATTACTATCGTTTTCAGTAATTTTCAATTTTCAACAACTTTTAACCAATAGTAATCTAATAAAACCAATTAATTTTTTTGAAACTTGTAATTTTCTCATAGAAAACATAGAATATAATCTTTTTGAAACAAATTTTTTTTCCAGAACATGGATCTTTTAGGAACGGAGGGAGTATGTCACAAATGATTGATTTTAATTCAATTTAAAGTTTCTAGTGAATGTAAGTTGTGTTCCCAAAAAATGTAAAAACAAATGAAAGATGCGTTTTATTAATCATGAAGGCAACGTTACATGCAAGTTAATGCAGTGTAAATATATATTATTATCTTTTATTAATTTGCTGTTAGAAAAACATATGTGGAAATAGAGATAAGCTAACTGCTTTTAAACAGTGGCTAATTCCAAGGAAGACAAACATCAAACATTCCACTGTCTTTGTTAAGTTTGCAAGGCCCGGTCTTGCGTATCTTCCACTCACATCTTATACACCCAAACTCTGCAAACAGTCTGTCTCTTCTGTATCTGTAGATATCGAAATAATGCAACTCGTTTCCCCAGCTGAAACTGCAATAGAATTTTGTATTTCCAAAAACACTAGGTTTAAATTCAAAGAACCACGATCCACTTGGTGGCATAGTTCGGTCTCCAAGATCATCGTCTTTTGAGTTACAATGATATCGCAATGGCATAGAACCTCCAAGATCATTGATAATCACCACAGTTGTTCTTGGGTTATCGAAACCGGTTAAAGAGAAGTCATCTTGAGCGTGAGACATCGCTACATGTATACACGTACTCATCATGATCAATAATAGACCAGTAAGCACTTTTAATGAACCCATTCTTTCTTTACTATTTTTTTTTCTCTTACAGTATGAGAGTATTGTATATGTATGACTGCTTCACTCAGTATTGAGTTGTGTATATATATAATCTCTTAAATAGTTTCATACCAAGCTCTTTTTTGTTTTTGTGACCTCAGTAACGTATTCAACGCATTTATCTCAGTAAATATTTTCAATGCACTAACTTGGTAAACTTTTTTCATGCAATTTTGAAAAATATGCGGTCAAGATCCTAAAACGTATATATATCTTTTCTGAATAAAAGTGACATAACTATTAAACCATATTTGACCCCCCCCCCCAAAAAAAAAAAAAAATTAGTAACCATTGAAATCAAAATACTTATTTT